CCTTAATGATTCTATGATTCTATAAGTAGCATGAGTCTTTACCAAACAATTGGTAAAGCCCTGATGTCTCTGCTGTATGTGTTGGGGGGAGAATTTGCTTTGGGCTATGGTCTTATCCTGGGTACTGAACACTTACTAGTGAGAATGCATCTTTTGATTTAGTTCTCTCCTAATGGGCGCTGCCTCTTGCATCTTGGCATTGCTTCATGGTGTGAACAATCATAATAACTGAGGAGCAGTTGGAAGATCTGCTTCAAAAGTACATACTGGTGACCTGAACCAGAAAGGCTAATGTAAATGTCATCTGAGTCTATAAAGTTGTTTTGGGAATATTGTCAGAGACTGTTCAGACTGTTCAGTTACAATTTAACATTCATTACTTTTTCTGGTCTTCCTGCCTAGGTTTCAAGATACTAATGGCAGATTCATCCAGTGAGTCAGATAACTTTCTTAGGGGTCGAATGGGAAGGCGGCCACCTTTGAGAGCATCCCACAACAGAGCTCGGAACTATGGTGCTGAAGAAGTTACAGAGAAGATCCATACTTTAGCAAGCACTTTACAGGTTGTTTACAAAATATGGTTTTAAAGTATTTATAAAGTCTGCATTTCCCTAACATAGGGTCAAATTTTCATTTCTGAAGTTGTGGAAAATACTGTACTGATGGGAGACATTTCTTTCTGTGCAAACCAAAAAGGTTTTGGGAAATCGATCATATTGCCTTTGAGCTGAAAAGTATGTGGCTTGTTACACTTTTATACAGCTCTTATTTCAGACAGTAATAGAATGTTGTTAGAAACAATGATGTGTTTGGTAATACGGTTTATAAAGTTAGCAAACTGAATAATACCAAATAAACTTTGTCAGATTCTCACAAGAGGCATTACATTTTGTAGCAGAAAGTTCCAGCCCCATCTTTGTTGTCTTGTACTGTGTAAAATTTCCCAGTTCCTAATAAAGTAAATACATAGGCAGTCAATTCCCTCATGATAGAGTTTACAATTCAAATATTTTCTACGTGTGGAACAGCACAGTGAGAAGCAGTATTTGTAAACTTGCAAGAGATCCATACCCGAGCAGGAAGAAGTGTTCATCTAATTCCTGCTTCTTCAGTGGAGACAGCAGAGGAAATCTCTGAATCTGTTTTGCAGGTGGGAGAAGACATTTAGCTATCTTGACACCATTTATTGCTTGAGAAGTCATTCCCATTCTTCTCTAGCTGACAGTTCTGAATACCTAGAGTGGGTGGGCTTATGTATTATCACTTTTGTTGAAGTATTGTTTGGCTGGCAATATTTACTTTTTAATATGTGAGAAGAGAAAAATCCATATAAAACGCTGAATTTAAACTTCAAAACTTCTTAGCTAGAAAATAATCATCAAGCTAGAAGAGAGATGACTTAATAAGAATGAAATCTGACTATTTTTTAAAAGCGACTCTTTGGTATTGTCCTGTTTCTCTCTAACCTCTTCCTAGCTGCTCTTCTGAAATTCTGATTTTGAGCTAATTGCTTTTTGTGGACTGCTTTTCAGCAGATCTGCCATCTGATCCAGCTCTTCATCTGGTCAGAGAATGCTCACACAGAGGCCTTACCTAACGTGTTGATCTTCAAAAATTTGTTATTTCTCAGTTAACTTAATTCTGTTTTACAGGCAGGTAATGTTAAGATCTTTGGATTAAAAAGGTTTTTCCACAGAGTGGCTGAAACTTATAAAATGTTTTGTTTGAAGCCGAGGCCTTACTGTTGTACTGTAAATGATAGCGTGGGGTTTTTTTGTTTGTTTGTGTTTTGGTTTGTGGTTTGTTTTTTTTTTCCTTCCCTTTAGCCATGCTGTATATTTTCAGATTTTGATTACTTGAATAGGATTTTGAATGGTTAGACCCTTTAAAAAACACTTGTGTTATCAATTTACTCTTATAAACCAAGAATAATAAAGACAACAGTAATATTTGATTAGAGGAGGTTTCTGGTTTGACTTTTCTTCCTCAAACTTTTTTTTAAGGATACCAACAGAAATCTAAGACATGTTGACCACTTGCTAGGACAATACAGAGAATACAACAAGGAACAAACCGAAGCAATAGCAACTGTGAGCAATTTTCAGTTTATCTTAACTTCTTAAATCTTTTCTGCTAATAACTGAATTCATAGCTGAAAACTTGGTAGTAATGGACAGAATATATCAAGAGTTAAGTAGATGTAAACAGAAACTTTTCATATTTATTTGAGCAATCTAAATCAAACTATAGTAATATGTTATATAATGAAACTCTGGCAGGTTTTGTAGCTTCATTACTTTTCTGGTTTATAACCACCAAATAGATTGTTATGTTATGAAACTATGCCAAGTACAACGTGCATAGCTGAAATAGAGTACTAGGGAACATGTTTCTTTTGCATGAATAAGTGGTAAGATAAAAGCTGAATTACAGCAGGGAATGAGATTGTGATCATACTGGTGTAGGTTTTTTCCTGTCATTCTACAACAGCTGCTGAATCTGTCGACCAGCTTTATCTAAATTGCAGAAGGGGTGAAATTCTCATAAATATCAAGCTTCTACAAGTTTGAAAACGTGTCTAGACAGAGAAGGTAAAACAAATTAGTGCTGGTAGGGCAAGAGAGGTTTATAACTTGGTTACAAACAAACTGCAGCCGGTGCTGCCTTGAAACAGATACATATGAGATGTAGGAATATTTTGCATGTGAGGGTAGAGAGAAAGAGAGAAGAAGCAAATATGTAGAAAAGAAGGCTTGTTTCTTCAGACAGCTTGCTTTCTAAGTCATTGTGCACAAGCTCTGCATGGAAGTAATTGGGGATATTATATGCCTCAATTTTTTTTCTTTGAATGCTGTTTGTGTCTTTATAAGCTCTACTTAGGTATTGAATTAGTGGAATTTCTGGTGGGCATTGGAACCATTTAAGGTTGTCTGTTTTTAACAAATGCTGATACTAAACGTAGTTCAACATTGTTATTCTGGAAAGATTTTTCTATTGGGAAACATGAAGGTGAGTAAGACATCACTCAAATTTTAGTTTTGCCTTAATGTCCATTCTTCTTAGTCATGCTAGGTGGCTTTTGATTATGGCTCAAGTGGAGGAGAAATCTAGAGACTAACCATCTCCTGCTTGAGCTTTAAATAATAGAGTAAAATCAGTTTTATTAGTAAAGATAGCATGTTTCTCTGAGTTCCTGTTCCCTTTCTGAAGCAGAAATTTCCACTTGCATAGAATAGATGTTGCATGTATTTGGTATGTGGGAAGAAGCAGCTGGGATCAGGAAGTAGTGGATCTGTTTTCCTTCTACAATAAATATTTAAGAAAAACTTGAATAAATTTCTCATTTGGATGGTAATGTGTTGGGGTTTTTTTCATAATGATAGTTGGTCAAGTGTTTCTACCATATTAGACAAGATTGTTTATCTAAGAATATTTTCATCCGAATGGGGTATGTGTTTAGGTTCTGTCAGTTATACTGAATATTGTAATGTCTGACTCTTCAACTCTTTGTGATGTTTTTCTTAAAAAAGACTTTCTTCAGACCATTGTATAGCATATTTGCATTTATGAATTTGGTGACTGTTGGGCTGCTGAGGACCTCTTTTCCATTCTAATTTAAAAATTAGTCTCACTACCGCACTTTGAGGTGCCCCGGCTCTGCCTGTGGGTCAATGCAAAACTTGCTAAGTAACTTACAGGGTCAGGAAGGTTTGCTGCTCAGAACTTTATTTCATCGTTGCTATTGTTGGTTCTCTAGTGGTGGGAACATTGTACTCTTCATATGTGCTCTGTTCCAGAGCAGTTAATCTCCTGCTGGCTTCACTGTTGGTCTGTGATTTTGTTATGTCCCTGGAGGACAAGAATAGTAGAGAAAAGGTTCCGTTCTGCTCTTTGGGTGGGGAGGAGGGAGAGGGAGAGAGAGGAATTTTTTGAGGTGTTTTTTTTTTGCTCCTGCGAGGCTTTGGAGGGGTTTAAAAGTAATTAGCCTTTTAGAAAGATCTGTTGTTTGGGTTTTTTTTTTTAATTTCATTTTTTCTAATGGCACTGATGTTTGTCTCTTTAAAGAAATTTAAAAAGAAATGAGAAAGGACTGAAATATTAGGCACTGTTTTGATGGGATTTAAACAACTTGTAGATGAGATGTCGAGGAATGGAATTCAGATTGGTGAATATTAAGGATATACTATTCAAATTTGTGTTTTTTAAAATCTCTCTTCTACTGTCACTAGCCTCTCTTCTTTCTTTTAATAATTAAGTTGTTTTTTAAGAGAAAACAAATACCTTAAAATATAATAATGTTGATAATGTAAATTATAACTCAAAATAAAAAAAAAAAATTGTCCGTTGTTCTGTTCTAAAGAAACAGACTGAAGAGTAAGGTTGTTAATTCTGGACACTGTCATGGTTCTTTATTTAAAAAAAAAAAAAATTTAAAAAATCCAGCTGTCTGGTTTCACATAGAAAGGATGAAAATGAGTGCTGTAAAGCTAAAGCATGCAAACTGAGCACCTGTAGCTTAATTCAGAGTTTTTATTTCTTTATTAAAGGTGCAAGATAAGTCTTTGACAGAGTCAAGTTAGATTTGAAAATTAAGTTATTGCTGTTCTTTCTTTGATCCTCTGGCATTTTCATGAAATTTTTTTTTTAAGTTTTAGCTTTTTGAATACAAAAGTGATCTTTTGTTACATACATGCATTGTTGTATCTTTTTCCCTCAAGTAGCCTCTGTCTTTTTGAGAAAACATTAGAAAATCCTTAAGGTTTTTGGTTTGAGAGTTTCTTAGTGATAATAAAGTTGTTTTAATAATACCATATAATGAAAACATAATACTTTAAAAAGAACCTAAACAAGCATTGAAAGACTCAGAAAAGATTTAAAGTAGTATTTTATGCTTTGGGAAAGAAGTGCCGCCCAGAGAGAGATCCAACACAGTGTGTATAATTCTGCAAGAATAAAGCAGCAATTTAACCATTGTGTACAAGCCTCTGTTACGGAGAGGAAAGGTGAACCTTTAGGTGTTTTGTGGATTGTCAAATAAAGGTGTGACAAAAGCAAGTGGCTAAGAACCAAAGTTAGCAAATGCAATCTTAGAAAATAAGATGCAAGTTTGAAAAATGAGGAACTTATTTAGGAATATAGTTAGTTCTGAACTCTTAAGTTGGGAATGGCTGCCTTTTTCTGGAGGTGTAACTACTAAAAGTAGGGCTTGATGTAAAGGTGCTTAGTGAAATTTGATAGCCATATGTCAAGTGAATTCCAGGTAGCGCTGGCAGAAAAATCCCAATAAAAAAAAATTTCTTTGAAGTTGTTTTCTGGATTTTGCAGGGCTGTTATTGAGCATTGCTGGCAAATTGGTCTTCATTTGGTTGTACGAGACATACTTTTCTTTTGAGTCTTCCTGGTGTGTTGCACCACTGTTTTAAGAAACTTGATATTTGAAGCTGCCAATACAGTTTTGCTATAGTTATGGAAATATGACATACGAGATATTGAAGAAAAGCTATTATTAATTCATAGCTATACTTGGCTTAAAAATAGTTTTGATTCTCTTAATGACTTTTTTGAAAAATAATATTTTACATGCATTTTTTATAATCTGTCTGTGTTCATATTTCAGTAAATTGTAATTTCTCCGCAGTTAAAAGAAACACTGGAACAGTCTATAGGTCAATTAAGGAGTCAACGATTAACCCAAAACTCTGGAATGAGAAGTGCTTCTCTCTCGAGCTTATACCCTAGTGATCTGGATGGAGAAGGAGTGTCAGGTAAAATACTTAAGATGCTTGAGTATACTTAAATTATGTCATATAGCTGTTGTATGGAAAGAGGAAATTAAGAAGGAAAATGTGTAAAGATAGTGGCATGAAAAGTCATCATTGATTACTTCAAAGAAATTCAGTTTAGAAATTTAAGTTATGCAGTTTATTTGGTAAATTCTTATAGCTTTCTGTTACATAGTCTTTTCTGCTGATATCCCGAGAGATATAAATGAAACATTGATTCTTTCAGCAGAGAAAATTCCTTGTCCAGTGCATGAGTTGTAGGTACATACAAGTTAAAGTTAAATTCAATGATATTGCAGCTTCTGAAGCTTGCTTCACAGCAAAAAGGAAAGTTAAATTTTAAATGCATAAGATTATGGATGTGGATGAAATTATGGAAGGCTCAGTGGAAAAGGAAAAAACTGACCAATGTGTAACCTAGAGAAAAGTAGTTTTTTCTTGTACGTATCTCTGAAAATTCATTCTATTTTAGGAAAAGGTGTGTATAGGAGGAGTATTCCTCCCAGAAGTAGCATTTAATGTATTTTAGTAGAAAGCTCTAAAACTTCAATTCTTTTCTAATGTAGAAGCTGTGAAATACTGTAGTTTGAAGCTATAATAGATCCAAGTGGAGGAAAAGCTGTTGCTTGGGCAAATAAAATTTGAGGAAAAAACCTACCTATTCCTTGGAGGAACAAAGGAAACCTTTTTCTTACCCATCACATACTTGTATTCCAGAAATATTTAAATTGAAGAAGAATCCTGGGAAGAGCTAAACAAGAAGTATGCCTGTGCATTTTACGTAACTTTAGTAGTTGTTTTGTCTGTAATGTGGCTTATAAGGATATTGGCAAGATGAAACACACGTTTTTCATGAAGCAAAATGAAAAATTTCCCATACAAAGTTCTGTCTTCCTACTTATTTTTTTATCTCTTATCTCATAAAGGGTACCGCCACTTCCTGCCTACTTCTCCTCTCAGGGATTATGGAGACTCACAGGGCAATAAACATCGGAGGTCTAGATCTGCAAGTGTTCGATTTGTCAATGAGGCAGATAATTTGGACCAGGTACAGAGCACTAATGGGAGTTGCTTCTCCAAATAGGCAATATGTGGTCACCAGGCTCTTCGCTTTTACATCAAATGAGGTTATTCTGATGATGCAGCTAAGAATGTTTCAGCTATGAAGTGTGCTTTCAATGTTACGTGCCATTCTTTATTAGGCAGTCACCTCTTGTATCTGTCAATGTCATGAACTTTCATGCAAATCTATCATTATAGATAAAAAGACGCAGATGGTAGTGATATCAAAAGTAATGTATGAAAATAATCTCTGTACTTTTTAGGCCATGTATGAGAAAGAAAAATAATCTCTGAATATGTGATTAACATTCACCTACATGCTGAAATCCAGTGTGGCTATAAAGGGGATTGTTCTGCTTTAGTTAATGGCACAGGATCTTAGTGCTTTTGTTGTTTACTTCAGTGTAGCCTGGATTGATTTTTGAGCCAGCTAGTTCTCCGTCTTAATTCTAGGTCTGACCTGTGAGTAGGATAATTTGACCCTGTATTTCAGGCAGATGATGCGAGGAGGAGAGGATGTGTATGGCATTGGTAATTTTCATACCCCTCAACTTGTGTCTACTTGCAGACTCTTCAGAAAAAAAAACATTAATTACTTTAATGGATAAGATTATAGGCTTTCTATATCCTACAGACAGAGAGGAGATTTCAGTACCTGCTTTGCTCTTTCAGACAGAGTGGCTAGACCTGCTTGAGTGAATCCCTGTGTATGGACTGATTTGTCCAGGAGGAATGTATTATGACTAATATTAAAGCAACTGATTGTAAGGTGTTCATGTTGGCTTTATTAAATCAGTTTCAACTTCCAAATAATTAATTTTAAACTTAACCACAATACGTTCTCTCAGTTGACTTTTTGGGAAGTCTGAGTGCTACAGAAATTCCTAGACTTCTGTTTACCCCTGTTTCATTGTCCTTTCAGTCTACTTCTCCCCCTATTCCTTCCTCCCCCAAGATTAGTGTGGAACATAATCCTTGGAAGGAAATAATGTTATATGGAAATCTTTCCTCCTAAGCTTCCAAAAAGCTTGGAAATATTTTAGACTACTTCTAAATATTCTATAAATATCTTAGAAATTTTATTCAAGGGAGTTCCTGCAACGCATACAAAATTCCTAGTTTATACTAAGTAACTATGTAAGCAAATAGTTTTTTTTCCTGTTTTGGTTTATTCCTTATTCTTGTTTTTCAGTGAGTGAACATGGCTTTACTCAGTCATTAATTATTTTGTAAGGAGAGGATAGTGCTTTGAGAAATGATAAACTAGAAGTAGTCACTGATCATGACCATAGGTAGAACTTGGGACAGAGATAAAGCAGTACTGTTTAACTAAAGCTGTGTCTTTTTCTTCTTTCTGTAACCACAGTCCCTTTATTCCCATTCTGACTGCTTCTAGCTAACGTAATTTTCCAGCTGAATGGGCTTTTAACACTTTTGAGTCTCTCTCCTTCTTAGGCTGATACATTCTGAAAATATGCTGTGTTTTTCAAAGTCTCTTGGGTCAGGTTGAAATTTCTGGTTAATCACACAGGGGAGATGGTAGTGCCTGTGTCTGAATGTTGAGAGCAGTCAGCTGGGCTGTGGAAGATCCAGATTTAAGTCTTGGGCATAGAATGAGGGGGTATTATAAACCAGGGTTTTTCATAATGATGGTCCTGGCCACTGAGCTGTTGACAGCAGTAGGATGGATTAACTGTCACTTTTTATCCCGTGAAGGATGGATGGACTATTACTTTTTTTTATTTGCTCCCTTAAAAACTTTGACTATAAATTGGGGGCCTGCTGAATGGGGGATATGGGAGGTTTTATAGAGGAAAATAGATGTGTGTGTTGGTTTTTCTTTTTTTGTGGTTTTGTTTTGTTTTGTTTTTTCCCCAAGCTCTGAAAAAAGCATGCTAGTAGAGTATGTAAAGTCTTGGGCAAGGTAAAATACCTTTCCTCAGTGCTTCGGTAGTTCCTGAATACATCATAGTGTTCTGCTTGGTCACTTCCAATTTCATATGCCATGTTTTTATAGTAAGATATGTAGCTGAGCAGAACTTTGTTTCACTTATACTAACATTTATTAGCAGGAAATGTGTCTCTCCTGACTTCACCTGTTCAGATCTTTCAACTTGCTTTGGTTAAAAAGGTGGTGCAGTGTCAGGTAACCAAAATGACCAAGCTCTGAACCATAGAAAAAAAAAACATAGTTGGGAAACTTGGTTTAGCAAATAATGTATTGAAAATTAAACTTCAATGAGCAAGTGTTGTGAAGAGTTGATTGAATTAGAAGCATGCAAGCCTCATCCACTCATCCAGGCTCATCTGCAGTTGATGGAATTTTGTTATTTTGTAGGTTATTTTTATCTGCTTTATTTTAAAAAGTGTCAATATATGTGTATACATATTTTTGGAATATCAGAGGAAAAGGGTTCCTAAGCCTGAGCTTATTTGTGTACTTTAATTTACAGCTGCATTCTTTCCACCAGTCTCTTCGAGATCTCAGCAGTGAACAAGTTCGCCTAGGAGATGACATCAGTCGGGAGCTTTCAAGAAGAAATCGGTATAAATAGAATATAACTCCATGTGAAGAATAGTGTGGAAAATAATTTGTATGCTTTTAAATAATTCTTAAACTCCTTTGTTCTTTTGTATTTAAAGCAAAAATTTTGGGGAGAGTGGGGAATTGCACAACATGTAGATGAAAGCAGTATTATGAACTGCTTGTTCCATGTCATCTTGTGCAGTATTTATAAATGTAAATAACACCCATCAATTCTGATTTGTATAGTATATGTGGCTTTTCCCTCCTTTTTTATTATATGGACAAAATGACAAGGATTTGGGAACTTCTTTTATTACAACTTTGCTCCTTATTTGTTCTTGGTACTGGAGTCTCTTGAGGGCAAGCTCTCATGCAGGCCATAATGTTTTTTTAAAGTACATACTGTCTCAACATATGGTGCTTTGTCTAATAGCAATAACAGGAATTAGTCTGCTAATTCCTAGTAGGAACTAGTAGTATTCAAAAGGACCATGTAGATGTGTTCATAATCTTGTACTTGTTGACCTGATACCTAGCCTTTCAAACTAGATGCTCCGTTACCTTCACTTGAGGAATGGAAATGCTTTTTATCATGAATTTTCCACTTGAGGCTGGTCTCTAATTATGCTAGGAATTTAGAGGCTGTAGAACAAATTGAAGTAGCACAAAAATCCAAGAGATTGTTGCTGCTTAAAATTATCACAGTTGATATTTAGTTTTTGCACTGTAGTATATTGTCTTGCCTACATTTTTCTATGAAGGACTGATGCTGAATTAAGAAAGACTCTAGAAGAATTGTCTGAAAAGCTCACTGAGTCCCAAAGACAAGAAACGGTGAGTGTGACTAACATGAAAAGATGATTTATATTTAGTATTTTAATCAGGGCTTCTAGTTTAATGTGTGTGTTGGTGATCAGTACCACGTATTAGTACATATATCTGAACATGATCTTATCTAGGCTATTATAAGTTGTTATAATGTTACCCTTCCATAATGAAATCAGCAAGACAAGTTTTATATTTCAGGTACTTGTTTAAAGTAAAAGTGTTTGACAAGTGTGTATATAGTGAATTTTTCTGTTTCAAAATTCACAGTCTTGGAGAAAGCTGCTTTTTAATTTTGAACATTGGTTTGAACACTGTCATACTTCATACCTTTTGAAAGATACAAGCTTTCCCATGTTATGTTGATGAATAATTCTTCCTCCCTCCCTCCCCATCCTTTTCAATCCTTATTATCTGTGCAGCATAATGGGAGGAGTCTCTCTGGGCTGCACTCTTCTCTGAAGGCTTTGTGACAAATGTTACAGAGGAGGCAGGACAGCCATGATAGTCTCTTCTTTTTTGCCTCCTGTATCTGCTGGAAGCAGACTAACTGCAGTCTGTATCACTTAAATGTGAAAGAGATCTGCTATTGAGATGGAAGTCAAACAGCGTATTGCTGTAGGAACAAGAGAATTTGAGAATCTCCCCAGTAGTTAGGAGGTGAAAATCCTGTAGGTAGTTCTCCACTCGTAAGACTTGAGTGTATGCTTTGTGTAAGTATTAATGTGGTATCAGTAGCAATGCTGACTTTTCAGAGCAAGTGTTATGTGTCCTTATTTTCCCATAGGTGATTCACCTTGCCCTAAAATTGCATGAATTGGTACTAAATGCTCTGTCAAGAGCTTTAGAGATGTGTTTGTCACTGATAACACATTGTTGGCACAGACCATTTGTTGGCACCAGCAGACTTGATAGTTGTACTTGTGTAAGTTCCTGACTTTAGATGAAGTTGGACAGGGATTCAAGAGACTGTAATCTATCCGTACCAGTTAGATACTTGATATGATAGAATCCATCAGTGGAGGAAGACTTGCCTTGTCAGCCTTCCTAGAAAAACATAACAGGCTGTCTTTGTTAGAATGTTATCTCTGCTTTCTCCTAATAGCCTGGTAGGATAAAATAAGTTTATCTGATAAAGAATTCTCGACTTGCAAAACTCTGGGTTTTTCTTGTTGTGGCCTACTTCTCAGTATGCTTACTTTTTCTCTCTTTCATGGACCAGGAAATTAGCAAACTCAGTAAATTTTAACCAAGATGGTTCTCAAGAAGATAGCTGCTGCAGCTGGCTACTTTACAACTGTTCAATGCCTTTGAATGAGAGAAACAAACCTTCCTCCTCAATCCTCTGGAATGCTGGCAGCCACTGTCTTTTCATTAATGAAAGAAATAACTAGCTCTTTGTCACCTCCTGTAGTAGGATTGCCAGATTTGAAATTGAATGTTACAACTTTTGACCTGAGAGAAGCAAAAAATGAGAGAAGTGAAGCATAACAAGGAAGCCTTCTGTAGTTTGTTGATGGTAAGGGGAATACCAGAAGAATAAGTCTTAGCTGGGAGAGAACATTATCATCCAATAAAGCTGTGAAAGCTGAAGCGTTTAATGACATTCTTTTAGCGAAGACACAAACGCTGCAGTGAGATGGTTTTCACGTGTAGGACTAGTAAGACTTCGGCTGGAATATTCTGCTCATTGCTGCTTATTATCTTTAGGAAGAACATTGGGCAAAAGGAGAGAAGACCAGAAAAAGGAGAGGAAAAAAATAAAAGGGGAAAAATAAAAAAGGCCACTCATTCAAAGACTTCTTTGAAAGGGTAAAACAGTTGCTGGGGTTCAATTTGCAGAAGAAATACGTAGTTAGGAAAGATCTAGCCATGTATGATGAATGGTCAAAAAGTGGATGTTTAGTGAACGATATTAGAATAGAAAGGCATTTAATGATAATTCTGCACGATACTGGTCTAATCACTTGTGGCTTGGGAGCTTCTTGGTCTGGAATTGATCTCTGTACTTTCTGTACTTAATAATGCCTCTGTGGATTTCTTGTCTGGAACTTGTCCAGTCTTTGTTATAACTTGCATATCTTTATCATCTTACTTGTCCTATAGCAAGGAGTTCTCCGGATAGATTACATCTTGTGAGAGGACCTGCCACTTTGTGGTGGTTTGGTTTTTTTTGGTTGGGGTGTGTGTGGGTGTGGGTGTGTTTGGTATGATTTGGTTGGTGTGTTTGGATTGTTTTTTTGTGGTTGGCTTTTTTTTTTGTTGTAAGGTTTTTTTTAATCTAACTGCTTTTTTATCTGTAATTATCATTGGAGGAGGTTGTTCAGTTTCTTCAGAGGCTTTTCTGAGGATTCCCTTTCTCTTCAGGCTGAAGAATTCTGATGCTTAATCGCTCATTGTATCCAGGCAATTCCACACCACTGAAAAAGCCTAGTGGTAGCAACATTCTGCACTGCTTCTTTACCTGTGCTCTCTGATATTAGATGTGGATCCTTTGCCCTTGTTCAAAGCCTAATGATCTACTGTTACACTGATGAGGCTGGCAGAATTGGTGAGATGAGGTAAATGCAAAAGAGGAGAATTCAGTATGGACATTAAGAATAAAAATAACTCTAATGGTGAGCATAGCAAAGCATGAAATTAGAGTGCGTGTAGAAACTGTGGTCTGTTATTGCAGTTTTTTGAGATCCTTTAGTACCTGTGTTTAGGAATTCTTCTAATGAGATTATTTAATTCAGAATTGATTTCTCATTGGTGAAAGTGAGTTGGGTAGGAGGAAATACTTTTTTTCCTCACAACTACCTTATGCAAAGTTGTTTAGGAACTTTTGTCCTTTAGTGCCTTTATCACTTCGCTTTGGAGTGTTTGTTTATTACCTCCAACATTGCCATCCTTGTATTTGTATTCTACTATGATTCTGGGCGATAAATTGTCAACTTGAAATCTTGATAATTTGACAGGATGAGTTCATGATAGAAACATTCTTTTCAGTTCAGTGTCCTTAAGTCTTCATTTCTGTAGGAACATAAATCTAAATTCTTACAGCTGTACTGTTCAGTATATTGAGTGCTGTTTGAAAATTGCCTGCATATAGATATGTGGTGATAAAGGTCTAGTCACTACAGTTGTTCTGAGTCACTAGTTCAGAATTTATTTTTATTAGAGGTTACGTTTCTTAGAGCCTTTTTGATGCTGAATCTGAATACTTTTTTAAGAGCCACACAACACAATCAATGCACATTAATTTTACCTTTAAAGGGACCCTTTTCCACCCCAGTATAAAAACCAGAGGACATCTGAGGTGGTGACACAGGCATAGTTGGATGCCTGTTTCAAATCAAGCACTCTCCATAGCCTTGTACTTGAGAATCTATGTGCAGTCTTGGTATAAAGACTGCAGGCTCTACAACTCTCTCTATATCAAAATCTCCTATCTTATTTAGACATTTTGTGAGATGCCTTTTTTTCTTGAAAAGAGTTTGGATGTTTACTAGAGGAATGTCCATACAGACCTATAAACAATTGAAAGAATGTTCACTTTATGTTATATAGGATAGCCCTCTTGGATATTTTGTTGCAATCTCCTGGTATAGAAGCGCATCTCAAATAGCACAAGAAGCTGATATTTATGCATAAAAGGCAACTGCACGGAAGCACAGATTTGTTCAAATTAAGTAGATGCTTAATTGAGATGGTGCTATTAGAAAGTTAGTGTAGGCTGTGTCTGTGGAAAAAGATAGCCATGTCAAGTGAAATGGGTCTCAGATGGAGTTAAGGTTACGATATTTCAGAGAGCCAGGATTATTGTCAGATAAGGAACTGTCCTTCAGAAGATCTTATATAGGGATTTTTGGCGCTGCACAGGTGACTTGTATATCACATATTATCATTTGCCATGAGGGAAAAGTTTAACAATGTTTAAAGTCATGTCTGTGAAAGAAGTTTGCTATTTTGGTGGGTTTAATACTTTTGTTTCAAGACCACATTGATAAAATAGGTCATAACAAGAAAGGCAACAAAAATCTGCTGAAATAGATTTCAGTCAGCAGGACTTGTGCAGCAGAAATAACAGTGGAAAACTGAAAAACAGGAGAGAAAGTCAAGAAGTAGGATGCTGCTTTTTGTAGATTAAGCATCCAGCATCTTCCACAAGATTATATTTAGCTGCATGACTTAAATGTCACCCTGGTTTTAAACAGGACATTCTATTATTTGTGTTTAATTGGTGGTGGGGGAACTTTTTGATAGCTTAATCCATTTTCATAGATTTTGCTGCTACCTGAAAGCTTTACGCAGAGACACAGCTCTTAATGTCGTGATTATCATTCAGGTAGTCTGTGTTGCTAAAAATGCATCCTTGAAATCACATTCTAATATGTTGTGAATGCAATAATTTAGTGCTAGCATTTCATGTCACTATGTAGAACCTCCATATTCTTTGTCCAGTTCTTCAGTGAATCACTTGTCTACACTAAGGCTTTTGATAAGATCCAGAGGACAAGATGCATAATCTTATGGTAGAAATGTTGTCCTGAGTCAGGGTCATATGGGATAAAGGAAGAGAAGTGAGTTTTAGAGTTTCTTCTGCATGTACTAATTAATGAGTTAACACTTAACTGCTTCTAATTTTTCTTGTTTTTGTGTCACAGGCTCTGTGACAAACTGACGAAGGTCAGAGAGGCTACAAAACAGGGAACATAATTCTTGTGGGAGGTAATGTCTACACCAGTGTAGACTGGGTAAATGTTACGTTGGGGGAACTACGTTTTTAGGTGGTGCATTGACTGCTTTGTGGAGCAAATAAGTAGAAATGTTCCAGAAGAAAAAAACCAGTTATTTGTTATAAACAGGAGTCCTGTGCATGGCTTTTAATCTGTGAAATATTCACCCTGCAACAGTGACCAAAACAAACTTACATTTGCCATCCCTACTGGAGCAAAAAAGTTAAACCTCTTAGAATAATGTTTGGTTTCTGAAAAAGAGTTGCACAAAAATAAAGAAGCTTCTTAGAAAAATGTTGGGGAATGAAGAGGGTAGGATATTTCCAGACAACGTGGAAGTGATCTGAATAAGCTATAGTAGTGACTTTGAATAAATGCATTAAAAGATGTGAAGGAGATCAAAAGATAGCTGATGTAACTATACAAGGTAAAAAGGAGTCCTTCCAAAAGTTATAGCCAAATGATAGAAGTAGAAAGGTTAGATAAACTTCAGCAGTTAAATATAAAAATGCAGTAAGGCAGTTTTAAAAAAAGTGACAAAAAGGTTGCAAAGTTATACGCAAATAAACCCTGTTTAATGCCATAGTATCACTAGGTAAAAAGATGATCAAACTAGAAGGAGTGTTCAGGGGAGGTAAACACTGCTAAACACTGCTAGGATGTGAATATGACGTAGCAGCTTTTCCAGAGAATGCAGAGGAAGCCATAAGCAACGGTACTTTGTTCTTTTGCACGGTTGCAAGGTGCAACATAATAAAGCCTAATTTACTATGGACTTGCGTGCTCTCTGCATTCTTTCCCAGTCTTCTCCCTTACCACTTGAACGCTTTTGGGTTTGTGTCACCCTACAAAAACTTATATTGTATCCTGGTTATCTAAATCCTTGTACAAGAACTTTCACGTTCTTCCCATATTATGCTTTCTCACCATGATATGCCTCCAAAGTCCCATGACGCTTTCTTCACATCATTCTGGCTTCACTGTTAGCTTTATTTTCTTATACTTCTAACCTAATATTTTTTTAGAACGCTAAATAGGCTAATACTTAATTTCAGACTAAATGCATGTACTTTGCTGACAGCCAAAATAAAGGAATAAAGGCTGAGTTCTCCCTGTTTCCCTAAATGGGGTATTTATGAGATCACTTCTGTCTAGGATCTTATTTTCTCACAAAGTCTAAATATATTTGACAGCTCTGTACCACTGAACATTTGAATCTATTGGCCAATTTCAGCTGAGTTTTGGGGAGGCTAGGGAATGACGAGCACAAATGAAAGACCGTAATCTTCTAAGTATTGTTCTTTATAAAGTAGGCTAAAAATAGTGTTTATGAGGCTCCTTTTGTTTAATCCTCTTTTTCAGGATTAATGCTAATTTAATATTTCATAGTAAGCATTTTGTCTACCAGAAAATACTTTTCTTTCTAAAGAAATGTTAACCAATGTGGTATCTATTCCTTTATCCTAAAACAACTTTCTTTAACTAATAGTCAACCATTCTGTATGCTAAGCTCTATTTTACAAAGAAAAAAATCAACAAAAATCTGATGGAAAAAATTATAGCTTTAAGGAATCTAAGGTTTGTTCTTTGTTTATTATGTCTTTTGTTATTTCATACATATTTGGAATAGTTTGAGCTTGCAGATTTTTTATTTATGAAATGACTGATTTTATACAGAAAAAAAATCAGTCTTTGGAGGAAATGAGAGTTGGGCAAATATTCAAACATGTTCTATGCAAATCCTCTTAAAAAAGGAAAAGTTGACAACAAAGTGGGAAGTATAGCAGTATATCTCTTTGGCTGAATTAGAAGCTCTGCATTTACCTCAGACACAAAGAGAAAGAACGCAGAAAATGGAAACTAGATTAGATTAATAAGAACAGTCATAAAAATTAGTGCGAATATAGGAGAGTAGAAAGGCCACAGTGGTAGATAATAGGATACACCAACAAAGAGACATCAAGAGTGATGATGTTTCACTTGTAAATACATCACCGTTTCTCAGGGAGACCAAAGCAGTTGGTCTGTTCCTTGCAGAAGCGGGGAAACTACTGACACGGTGTGCCAAGAAAGTTGATTCCCGTTTAACACCTTTTTAACATTAATATTTGCCAACAAGTTAAGCTGCAAGTTAGTGACCAGCAATGGGGGTGTAAGACCTCAGCTTAAAGTACTAGGGGGGGAAGGAAGGCATGTAAAATATCTTGAAATAACCTGGTGCAGATTAGCTACGCAACTTACGTAACCATCTGAAGTGATCTTAAAACCACTAATGGCTGTTTTGGAGTATTCATGGACAACTGTGGCGGTGAGTTAGAAAAAATGTTCTTGGAATGTTGAAAACAGGCAAATCTTGAAAAAGGAGAAAATAGACTGATTATTTTTCCAGAACTTTATTTGTAAACATCCAAGAGCAAACAAAAAAGAAACTTAAGGAGCAGACCACAGAGATTTGTCAAGAAAAATTACATTTTTATATCATAGAAGGGATTTACAGGGATGAAACAGTGGTTTTCTATATTTTGAAGCATTTTTTTTAGGTATTTTTAGACAGAATTTCATATACTGTTCTAATAAGCTTTTCAGTAAAATATGGTAGAACTGAATATAGTCTAGAATAAACACACAACTGTCCAGATACCTGTGTAGCTAGTAAACTGTTCACTGTTAAAAGTAGAGGAGTTAGTGAAGTGAATTTTACATGTTGGTATTCTTGATCTTGTTCTCTCTGAAGTTTTTATTAATAGTCTAGATGATGCAATATAGAGATGCTTGTTATGTCTGCAGATGGACTTCAGATATGTTGGAAAACAGAACTGAAATCCAGTATCCAGTCTTGGATGTGGCTTAGAGAATAGAACAAGGTTAATAGGGTAAAATTCAGCAAAGAGGACTAAAACTGTACGTTAGGAAAAACAGGTCATTTTAGAAACAATGGAATGAATTGTCTAGGGAGGCTGTAAAAGTTTTCTGTGAATGTTTTTGAGCAGGTTAGATAGACTTGTAGAAGAATGATATAGATATAAAAGGTCATGTGTTTAGCCAGGCAGTAAGTTTGCTAGCCTTTGAAGTCCCTTCCAGCCCCTTCTTTCTGTGCTCTGTGCACAGAGGATATGAGCTAATGATATACTATATATACTAACTATAGTTTCTTGATAGAGGCTTTTTTTCCAATGAGTTATAAGTAGCATCAAAATATTTGGTGGTTTGTTTTGGTTGTTTGTTTTTTTTAAAGAGGATTATGTCTGTAACTCTGAAATTTCTGTACACCTGACAAATATAATGAATGCATCTTTTTCAGTACCTTGTTAGAAATAGGGTAACAGTTGTATTCTGGAGGGAGTTGAAAGAAGTCAGAGGCAAGGCAAATCACTTGATATCTTGTAGTTAGTAAAAAGTTACTTTCTTATTCATTTTGCATTAGTGATAATTTGCAATGAAATCTGAAGTTTGCAGGAATCTGAAGCTTGCCTAGTGCTGCCTCGTGTCAAGTCATCTGCTGTGCATGTGGTGAACTAGACCTGTGTCAGTGAGGAAGTTACTGATCTCTCCTTTTGAATGTCGTCTTGGGGGTGATGTTACTTTTGGATCTTTTGTCAAGTCTAAATTATACATTTTCTTTCTTAATAGCTTTAGTGTCCTCTTGCTTAACTTCACTTGAAAAAGATGTGTGAGACCGCTGAGAAAGCTTCTGCCTTCAGAAACACATAGCCAAGATTTTTCTAAAATGTAAAAACATGACTTTGTTTCATTTGTGTACTTTAGATAGATCTGGAGAAAAGGATGACAGGTATTTCCCAGTTTTCAGCAAAGATATAACAAGTTTAATGACAAAGTGTTATTTTCTGTTCCAGCTAAATAGTATTGTTATTTCTGTTCGCTGCAGTATTTTGTGGATTATTAGAAGTAACACTAAGTCATAGTTGTCAAAACAAATACAAATGTTGTGATGTAGTCCTTATTTTTTATGCATTAGTTTTTAGTAAGTAATTATTCTGGATTATGACTGCAGAGTTTTCTAGTGTGGTTTGATGCTGTATGTTTTTTGAGCATCTCCTGATGGTTTTGAGAGAAAATACAAAATCCCAAATTGGAAGCTGACTATTCATCTGCTGCACAAACAAGAAAAGTTTTCAAGCTGATGTATTCTGTTGTAAAGAAAAAGACTGTTTCATTCTTTAAACCTGATGTACTCGTGAAGCCCAGAATATAAATGTAACCTTAGTTATGTTTCTGTTGCTACACAACTGTGTTGCTCACGTTAAAATTTTCTATCCATGCATATACCTAGCGCTAGTAGAAGCATGCTTAATGGTGAAAATACAGATGAGAACTTGTTCCCCGCCACATACATCAGAAACTAGTAGTTGAATGGTGTTTTAAGTCTTTCTCTTTTTATCTAAATACTGTTTGGTAATAGATATATTGCTTTCTAGTGACTGTTTAAAATAACTAGTTTTAAGGTAGGGAGGAAATGATACATAAATATTTTCCTTGCTAATCTTCAGCTTTAACAATATAAATTTAATTTGCTGCCCACGAGAGGGTGCTGTTTGCTAGCAGCTTGAAATGCAAAAATAAAGTAGTTCTGGTGCTCTAGTTTAAGATTGAAATATTGTGTTTATAATCCAAATTGCTTTAACAAATAACTAGTGTTATTTGTATTAGTTCGTACATGGATTCGCAAAATATTGGGAAAAAGTCTTAAAGTGATGTGATTATTTTGTGCTATTACAGTCATTCTCATGTACTTAGCTCTTGTTTACTACTTTTCACTCACAGATTTCAGAGTATGAAAGTGGCAAACATTGGTCTGTTTTACAGACTGGAGATGTGAACGAAATGACTTTCCAGAGCTTAATCAGGCCTGTGGCAGAGAAGCTAAGATTTTTTGTATTGCAGCTTCAGGGTAGGCTGCACCAAGCTTGATATTGAGATATTTAGCACTTGAATAGAACCACCACTGTAGAGAAAAATATGCATATACCTAAAGGAGGATATTGCTAGCAATATAGCAGGTCAGTTCCCTGTTTGAGTTTTTCTGGAGTACTCACTGCTATAACTCCAGTTACTTTCTATACCATTCTAAACCTTATTTAATAAAATTAAAGTTGTATTCTCTCTTCTTTCTGCCCCATACTCTATTTACCTTTTTTGCCGTTGTTATCTTAATATATGGTAAAAGATGCACTAATTTCCTGCAGGGTTGGTTTTTTTCCTTTTGAAGGTATCAGAACGGGTAGAGAGAAGACTTCAGGAGATAGAACAAGAAATGCGTACTGAAAGACAACTTGTAGAAAGGCGGCAGGACCAACTGGGACATATGTCTCTTCAATTACAAGAGGTATGCAAATGAAAACTTCCTGTGTATTCAGGATTAAGTTAGGAACGTGCTGCATTTGTGAGCCTGTACCTGTCAAACTGGCAAAAGTGCTCATATCTTTGGCACATTCTTTTAACTGTATCAGTCCAGATCTGCTTGTTTTGATGACCAGATGATAACAAGTACAGTCTCTGTTCTTCATGATACGGTCTCGTCCATGTTTAGACCTTTTTGGTAAATGGCACAAACATTCTTTAAAAGAACCCACCCCCTATGCCCTCCCTCAAACCCCAAACAAATGAGTCATTAGCTGGGTTGTCTCAAATAAAACACTTTATTTTCTAAAATGTAAACTTGGCTTGCAGTGAGCAGTTTATTTTTAATTTATTTCAACAAGCAATCAAATGCACTGTAGTGGCCAGACAGCTTTTAATTGCTTTTCAAACATTTCATTCAACAGTATCTGATGTAATATAAAATATTGTTTAGGAGACAAATAAAAATATTTATATTATGAATTAAAATTGGAGACAGCTAGTAGCTTTTTTTCTGCTTGTTTTAGGAAGTGTATGAAAAATACATCTCTCTGTTTCTGATTTTACTGCTATTTGGAAAATCTGTGTCTTAACATAGTGTAACTTTTTATTTCACTCCCCTTAAGATATGATATGCAATGCTGTCTCTAACTATGCAATAGAATACTATAGTTGAGAAGAAATGGGCAATTCCTTGTTTTTCACTTTTAATACTAGCAACAGTATACACGCTTTTGGAAGGCAGTTGTTTTATACTGTGCAGTGATACTGAGGAAGCTTAATTTAGATTGACACTTTGTATTTCATGTAAGGCTAGAGACTCTTCAAAGAGGTCATATTTAAGAAGGTAAGATGCTCTTTTTATATAGCTAAAAAGTAATGTTTATCAAAATGCTTGTAGTGCTTCTGCTAGTATTTCAGAAAGAGTTACTGTTTCATTTTTCCCGCTATTGATGTCCTAGTGGGTGAAAAGAACGAGAGTGTTTTATTACAGTTTTCATTGCTCTTTAATATGCCTACATCCATTTCTAGATTCTTTGGTTGTGCCTTCAGTCCGGTAGAGGGATGCTTAATGAAGTGAGTTGGTGTCATTTGATAGCGTTATCTGCAGCTTGGAACAATCTTTTTTTTTATCCTTTTAAAGGGATAATAACTTGTAGCTGTAAAGATACATTGACACGGCCATGGTTTCCTTAGAAGGAGAACTTGAATTCAAGTGAATGGATTGAAAAGTATTTCAAAGACTTTCATATGATTGGCTGTGTGATCATGAGCCCTCATCTGGATACCTTTTTTCCTAGTAGCTCATCTTTTGAATTTCATGCAAAATGAATATGAAATACTAAGTACATCCCTGACCTTCCATTACCCTAAGCTGTCCAGCTGTAGATGAAGACGTTTTAATCTTTTCTCCTGCAAATTTTATTTTGTTCTGTGCATATTTTTGTAAATTATTTTTCCCAAGGAGCCCCTTTCTATTTAAAAGATTTTTTGACACCACTGTTCAAAACTTCGATATATAGTCCTCATTCTCAATTTACAGGAAAGCTCAGCACCTATTAGTCTGCTTCGTAAACTTTTACTATTAGGAATTTGCCCAAGCCAAGATTCAGAGCCAATCCTGACTGGAAGAGGCTTATTCCACATGCCATATGTTCATAGCTGCTGCTATTTGGAGGAGAATCACATACCTGGTGATTATCTTCACTCTCTCAAGCAGGGGCTCATATCTCCAAATTGTCCTTCTGGGTAGCTGATCTCAGTCATGACTCTGGATTTCTTGGACTGGACTCTTGTCACCATATTTGGGAATCCTAATAAAACATAGATTACTCCCGTTGCAATGAATTATGGATTTTTCAGGAGCTTCTAACCTTTAACATGCAAAATAGAACCTGGTGGTGTCAGATGACAAGTGTAGAAGGGAGCTTCTTTCAATAGGTATTAGGCAACCTTTCTTTGACAGATTACAGAGGAATATGGAGACAGTATCACCCTTGAAACACAGACTTCTGTTACACTCCCAGTAGCAACAAACAGTATGTCCTCTTCCTGCTACTTCTTCTGTCATAGCTGTCCTAAGAGCTTGGAGAACATCTTTGTGACAGAGTTGCAACTTCCTACATGCCAGATGTCTTTAGACTCCAATATTGCTAAGGTCCTTATATCTCAGACCCTTATTACAAGCTTCCATCCAGCTGTCCCATCTTCCTTCCCTATTGAACATTCATGTTAATTTGTCCTTCTCTAGGTAGAAAATGGTCTCACTTCTGGATGGTGTTTGTATTTATCAGGAATGGTTCAACATCTCTTGAACAGTTGGCTGAGCTCTTTAGCTCTCACATTGGCAAATTGGACCACCTTGCACCCTACCTTTTGAAAAACACTTGTTTTTGAGAGCAAAATAGTCTGCATCCTGTACATGCTGCCTCTCTGTGTGCTATCGTCTTGAGAGGTTGCTGTGTGGGAAAGCTTTGTGAAGAAAATTACTTTGTAACGGAATGTAAATTATAGAAGAAACAGGAATATCAGAATGTCTAAGGAGGCAAAAAGTTTAAACTGATATAATCTCAAATTAAAAACAAACAGGAAAAAATGCCAATACTAAAACAGTCTGAGAATTGGGTGTAGCAGTTTTGAGTTTTTGAGCTTCTGGTTTTTGATTTTTCAATTTTTTTCCTTGTATGTGGTGTTACAGATTAATAGATTCAATATGGCAAACCAAATAGAATGAATAATTTATGACTATGAAGTATTTAAAATTTATTAATATGAATAGTTTAAAACGGTTTTATTTCAACAATGTATTTTCAAGCTGCATAGTAGTTGGCTTCTTACTGATTTTTTCATTACTTGCATCAATGTAATTGATGTATTTTGCTAAGGTATTTTTTATTTTTCTCTACTATAGACAAAATTAAATTTGGCTTTAAAGATCTCTGAGCAAAGTTGTTAGAAAAACTCCATAGTTTACACCATTTTTAATATTTTTTTTTAATATCCTATATTTTAAGTAGGCAATTTCTGAAAAGCCTACAAGGTAATTATTTAAAAAAAATCCAAAGAAAATAATAAAATTCCTGGTAAGAATAATTGGCTTTTCTCTAAAATATCTGATGTCACTTAACTTTTTTGTTACTAATCGCCCATCACGTGGTGGTAACATTTGCCACAAAGATTGCTTGATAGGTGAGAGAATTTTCAAGAACAGAGATTCTCAAAGACTCCAGTGTGGAAGCTTACTTATTGGCTGCCTTGCAGTTGAAGTGTGACTACATTGTACATTAAGAACAGCAATTTCTTAACACAAAATATATGACATTGCTGGTTTTCTTCCTTATTGTGAAATATGTTCTTTCATGCTGCTTTGATACTCGGCTATTGCAGATGCTATTCTCAAGTCTGCAACAGTCTCATCAGTGCACTCCTTTGATCTCTCATGGGATATACAGACTGATACTGAGGACCACCTACTGAACAAGGTGGATTTCTTCGTTCAGTACATCCATACAAGTGTGTACTCACTCAAAGATTCTTAGGGGACATTGTAGATGAAAATACTCTTAATGAACACTGTCAACATAGGGAGAGGCTAGTTGCCTTTTTCTGCAGCTTGGCTTTTTAATCAGCTGTTCCTCTTGTGGTGGCTTATATTTGGCCTGAAGTATCAGAAGAAGCAGCCAAGCTGCTTTCCAGTAAATGAGATGTCCTCCACTGGTGAAGCATGAACACATTTAGATGTAAACCTGAGCCAGTAAACTCTAATAAATATTTGCGCTGGTTCTCTGCAAGAAGGCTTGCGGATGACGGTAGCTATTTAGGTTTCATTTTTCTAATTTTCTTTAATGACGCTTGTCTGCAATACTAATACTAACCTGGATAGTGATGGTCTTGGAATTTTTTGGTCCGTACTCCATTTGGAGTGGGGTGCTTGGATTCACCCATGTAAATATGTGTATGGGCAGTCTCTTAAGAACGGAATGTTGCTCATTACAAACCTGAATTTCTTTGAGGAGTGATAGCCAGTTGCCCCTTGTCTTCCATTGCCCGTCATCTTCTGTTGCCCCTTTCTTTTAATGACTCTGGGATTGAGGACTGTGAGGACACGGTCTTCCATTTATACAAATACAGCATGTTGGAGGAGAGGGAAGGGTAGACGTGCCTCCTGCAGATACTGATTAGGAGAGAAAGCTTTCCATCTGAGAGCTTGAAGTGCGTGTGGACAGCATGTACTGAGGAATATATCAAGAATTAGTCTTTATAACATATAAATGTTACTAGGGCATGGTGTGTATCTCTAGCTTAAGTTGCTGTATGTTAGAAAGAATGTATTTGAATTCCTTTTGCATACCCTAGTGAGAATGAAGTAAATAACTAAATATTTTGCTGCAGTTGTTATTTGGATGAAGCATGTTTCTACATAATTTTTAAGAGCAGCTTTTTACTTTGTTATTCTGTTTCTTGTCCTTTGTAATCTAAATTACGCGTTAGATGGACTCTTAGCTCTGTCAGAAGCCTGTCTTGTGGTGATCATTGCGTGGATGTAATGTTCTATTAAAGTCTTTTCTGTCCTCTTTTATTTCTCCAAGATGCTTCCTAAGTAACATTACTGGAAGGAGGGTAGGGTTTGGACTGAGTTCTGAAATCCTGTCAATTAATGTGGTCTGAATGATTTACAAAGAAATGCTATTTAAAGCATTTGTGGCTATTTAATGAGACAATTTTTTCATTAGTTTGCCTGTTATACACTTCAAACCAAACAAAATCAAATTTGACTTTTGGATTTGATCAGTAGTTGGTTTAATTAAGAAATCTTGTGAGTTTTAAATAGTTATTATTTTTAAGGAAAGTGCAGTGCCTGTAACTGACCACTACTTGTCAGTATTTTACCATCTTAAGAGAATCATCTTCCTAAAGTTCAATTATTAAATTATATATTTTCAGGGTCTAACTGAACATGACGATACATTTGTTTCAGTCTTTCTCTTGTCTGTCTTGTGTTTCTGTCTGTCTTGTGTGATGTGCAAACATTTTATTTGTATTGCACTATTATTATAATAATAGACTGTTTATTAACCAAGATGATATCTAGTTGTATGCTGATCATAAAGAAAGTTTGACATATAAAATTTTGTATCTTTAACATCTAAATTTGCATTAGTATTTTGAATCTGTAGTCTATGTGCTGTGTGTAAGTGGATAAAAATTTTCTCTACAATTTTATGTATTTTTTAACTTAGTGTGTATTGGTGTGTTTAAACACTATCTGTTTAAACAGCAATTACTGTAAATTAGAAAATTGCAATTAGCAAACAAATTCATGCAAAGCATACTTCTTCATACTTCTTTTTTCTATATTCCTGATACAAATGTGTTTCTGCTTAGAAAGGAGAACAAATATGCTCACCTTGCCAGTGCTACTGACACATATATATGGGTTGCTTTAACAAAATACATTTGTTGTGTAAACTAAAACTATTTTGAGGTTCTTCAGTGCTTTGTTTTGAACATGAAGACACCATCAACTTGTACTGTTTGTTTGCATTTATGCATCCATTTTCTAAAACAAGATCAAGTATCATTCTTAAAAATGGGCTTTAAACAGCTTTTATATGCATTGGATGTCCTGGATGGCTTTACTAATTCCTGTGCTTGGCTTCCTGGATTTCGGTGAAGTGAGTCAGTGTTCACACTTTGCACGCTTTAGGTGAACAGAATTATCTTTATAGAACATTTTGAACCCACTGACTGTGGTAAGGCAATGACTAGAGTTATGTCTTAAGCTAGTAACTTGGGTAGGCCAGGAAGCATTTTTTTCTTTTTTCTTTATGCAACTGAATACTTAAATTCTGTTTGCCTCCCACTGCACATACTGTGAAGTGCAAGAGGCTGGCGGATTTTCAGCAAAGAGTGGGATAGACTGACAGTCAAAAGCATTATTAAAAATTCTCTTTTTGCATGTCTCTATCTCTGATCTTTTTAGACAAATGTAAACTTGATCTGTGCTCTGAGCCATCTGGATGTTTTAATGCATTGTTGATACTTGCCCCTTGGCTCTGTGCTATGCCACCTGTGACTGATGGTTTCAGTTTTGATTGTAGTTTGAATCTGACTCTGTTTTGGAACATGAGCAAGTCTCATACGTATCTGTCACTGAAATATCTGGGCAGTCTATCTTTAAATGCCTGGCTGGTATGTCTAGGTGGCATACTCGGACCCATGCTAGCTGCTAATGTAGCAAGTTAGGG